AACTGACCTTCCTCTCTTCTTTCCTTTTTTTTGCCACTCCCTTCGTCGAGTGATGATGTACCTTTTTTTTTTCTTCTTTACAGCAGGAGGGCAGCGGAGGAAACACCCCCAAAGTCCTTTTCCTTTTCTTTTTTTTNTTTTTTTTTTTTTTTTTTTTTTTTTTTTTTTTTTTTTTTTTTTTTTTTTTTTTTTGGACAAACAAACGGCTCTGACTGCCATTGGGGATGCTATGCGCATCCCTCAAAATAGTGTCACCTTCTTCCATTGGCTCCTGTCTATTGGTGCGCAACGTCACCTGCCGGACACGACACTGGCGCCACCTTTCCATATCACAGATCTTGAGAAAACACTGAACAGTGTTTGCACAACCTTGCAGTGATTACACAATTATGCACTGGACTGCAGTGATTGCACCGCCGCCAGGGGATTAACTGCCACTGACTTAAACCACCAGTACATCCGAAAAAGCAGATCCAGTCTCTCCCTAAAAAAAAAAAAAAAAAAAAAAAAAAAAGGAGGCCACGAACGGGCAATTCATTCTATGGACAGTCCATGGCCTCCAAATTTGTTAGGGGAGGGCTCAACCTTCTGTTTCGGATGTACTGGTGGCTGGGTATTGCTGAGGCAGCCGACGGCTCTCTCCTCTCTCCTCCCTCCTCTCTCCTCCTTTCCCTCCCCCTCCTCCTCCTCCTCCTTTTGGTTGCCGCATCAGCCAGGCCAAGCATTATGATTCCGACAGATGCACTACCGTCTTAACCCGAATACAACGTACGATCATTATAGCCGTATTTAGGCTATCTATCAGTCTAAATACTGCAATAATACCCGTACTTTGTATTCGTGTGAGGAAGGTAATCATCGCCGTAGCGTTGGCTACTTGTTCTACTTTCTTGTCCTTCCTCTCCGTCCATTCTCACAAGGCATTTTCACCTCCTCCCCCTCTTCCTCCGTGCTCCCCTCTTCCTTCTCATCGTCTTTCTCCTCCCTCCCTCTATCTGCTGTTGTGGACCCCCCCTTCAGAGCCCAATCATTATTCATCTTTCTTTATTCATTTCAGCAAAAAAAAAACAAAAAAAAAAACATCAGATGTCAAAACTCACAGTGGCACTCGGATCCTCCTCCTCCCCCTCTTCCTCCTTGATCCCCCCCTCCTCCTCCTCCTCCTCCTCCGTCTGTCTGCGATTATTGACAGCTTCCTAGTCCAGCCTTCTTCACCATTCCTTTTCCAATTCAGGAAAATGAAGAAAGAACAACCAATCCATTGTAAATGTTCACAATTGGATAGACAGGCTACAAACCACCTCCTCCTCCCCCCTCTCCTCATCGCCCCCATCCGCTTCCTCGCTTGTCTTCTACTGCTTTCAGCTTGACGCGACTCAAAAGCGAATTTTAGAGTCAGCCTTGATGGCCTCCAAACGTTCGATTTCATGGTCGCATCTGGAAATGAGAATTTGGAACCCAGATGCTTTGCTCCCTCCCCTTCATTGCGGTTGACCGAGGGTCCACAGGAGACTACTATGGCAGCAATCCTGCCAGCTTACGCTATGGCGCTTGCCACCCCTCCCGCCCTCTGTATACTCTCACAAGAATCGAAACCCGTGCCCTGTACTCACATTCGCATCTCCTAAACCCATCTGACCGAAATCATAGCCAGATTCGGAAGAAAAACTCCTGGTGTGAAAGAAGTGGAGGTCCAGGAGGGAGGCATGCATGCCCATCCCACATCTTATCCCCTCCTGGTATTTATGCCTACCCTTGATAAATAATTTTCCGTCGTCTTGTCACAGATTTACACCTTTTGGCCCTGATTCCTCCAGACATGTCAGCAATTCAATAACCTCTTTTTCAAACAAAAATAATGATAAATAAAAAAAAAAGAAAAAAAACCTGTTTATCTTAAGGCAAAACTGATAAAACGACAAAATAACTTCCACGGCAAGAAAACCTGACTGTTGAAGTGGATATATAAGATTAACCATCTTTCAGAGATAGGAGACCGATTACCCCAATATCAAAAAAAGGACAAGAGAAAGGACAATCGCAAAAAGGTTTTGAAAGTTGAATCCTTTTAGAATAAAAAGATCGAAATGTTGACATCAAGTTAAACACGTTTCATCACCCCCGTCTCGAGTCTTTAAAAGAAAAAGAATAATTTCCGTAGTCTTGTGAAAGATTAAAAAAAAAAAAAAAAAAACACTTGATTCAGCCAAAGACTCTGCCGTTTGTCACAGAGAAAGAAGATCAGCAAATGGCCCCTGCACAAGGATGACACACTAGGCTACCAGAGTGGCCCGGGGTCACTTAAAGCCGGGCCAAAAAACTATAAATAAACCAAAAAAAAAAAAAAGTTTTTAAATGATATATTTTATTTTGAATTCGGTGAAGAATTCCGATGTGACCCTCAGGCAAAAGTTGTTCAGTTTAATTTTCTGCATAACATAGTTTTTTTTTTGGATTTTTTGGATGTACTTGGATATTTTTCCTTTTTGCTGGGACCTTCCCTGCTCCTTGCACGGGCTGGCCACTCGGGACCCGGGCGGCCCGGCTGGTAGCCTAGATGACACACATAAATCGAGATATGGTCCAAAAAAAAAAAAAAAAAAAAAAAAAAAAAAAAAAAAAGACTGCCATTTCCCCTATTTCTCCCCTCGAACTCGTCTTGATCTACTGATCCTACTCTGTTCTTCCCCCCCCCCCCAAAAAAAGACCAAAAAAAAACTAAAAAATACGTCCCAAGTCCTCTTCCCAAAAAATCACAAATCCACCAGCAACCAAGTGTTGATTTAATATCTAATGTACCCAACAAGTTGACTTTTCCCTTTTTTTTTTTTTTGGTGACGAATTCCATATCTTTTTTTTAAGTTTTTCGAACTTTTTCCATTAAGATGACTTCTTTTGGTTAACCACATCTCTTGTCCAGGGATGCTCTAAATACATCAGGTACCATAAAATAGATAAAGCTTGCACAAAACGGTTCCACCTTCCGCAGTATCGAGGCCAGCTTCTTTAATATTAAAAAAAATAATAATAATAATAATAATAAATTGCACAGACGTAGAAGGTTCCCTGGATCCGAAATAAGGCCTCGGGGACAGCTTGGAATTCGTTAACCAATCTTCTTATGTTGATGTGTGAAGGTACATGCACAATTGCATGCAGTTCAAGATTAAAAAAAAAAAACTCACACAAAAATGTTCACAAAGAGCACAAGCATTGGTTCTTCTCAAACACAACAAGATTGCACAAAGTTACTCTCAGAAAATCAAATGTTCTTATTCATGTGCTGAAGGGGGGGGGGGGGGGAATAAAATGCTGAAGAAACGAGTTGCCAGTTGTGGTGGTTGCTGGGAGCTTGCCTGGATGCCCAGCCAAGGATTTGCCTAGATGTCAAATAGCACTTGGGAAACAATTAGAAACGCATTAACCAAGCTTATTCAAGTAACGAAAAAATGAAAAAAGAAAAATGGAAAAAAAAAAGGGCGCTTGACTAAATGCCCAGCCGCGGAGGTCAAACTACATACCTCTACTAAATATCTCAGCACGTTTGACAATGATCATTCAATAAACAGGAAATACTAAAATAATACAAAAATAATTCAAAATTACTCAAAAATTATCTGGCTTAACTCCTTTGAGACATAAGATCTGGAGGACAATAACGAGAGAGACACAGAGAGAGAGAGAGAGAGAGAGAGAGACAGAGAGAGAGTGAGAGAGAGAGAGAGAGAGCACCTTTGCCTTCACATCAAGCGACGAGTGGCAATCAACGGATCGGTGCACACAAGGGAGGTCATCGGGATTCCACGTCGTGATGACTTCCTGCTTCTTCCACGTGGTGCATCCCAAATCTTACTGTCCATCAGACTGCTCTACAAAAGAAAAAAGAAAAACAATCCTAGCAAGAAAGACTTAGGGAAAAAACAGACTTAAGAAAAAAGTCCATACAAAAATAAACGCAAACAGTCGACGCTCCTAGTAGATGAGAACATAGGAGCCCCTCACTCCGCACCACTATCTAACAGAATGCCAGAAAGACTTAAAAAAAAAAAGACTTCGAAAAAAAAAAAACTTTAAAAAAAAAAAAAGACTTCAAAAAAAAAAAGACTTCAAAAAACAAAAAAGGCTTCAAAAAAAAAAAAAGACTTCAAAAAAAAGAAAGACCTGGGGAAAAAAAAAGACTTAGGAAAAAAAAAAAAACGGCAAGTGCATCTTTTCGCCTTCTAGCTGAAGATACACTCGCCATTCTACACATTCGGTGAGTAGTGCAGCGCAGTCTATACACTTGAATGGACAGGTAAGAACGACGAGACACTCAAAGACAAGCCACTGCTCACTATTCCACCCCTCCCCCCTTTTTCTTGGAATAATTATATCATTTAAATTAAATTGATTTTATTACAACTTGAAGAACATTGAGGCCGGGAATTCCTCACAAGCAACCCGAACATACTGGGGCCCATGCATAGACTCCTCACTTCAGTACTCGTACATATATACATACATACATACACAGAGAGAGAGAGAGAGAGAGAGAGAGAGAGAGAGAGAGAGAGAGAGAGAGAGAGAGAGAAGAAAACGATGGATGAAAAAGATGACCTACATTCAACGGGATTAGATCTTTTAGTTAATTTTTTTCTCGGCGGGGGAGGGAAAGGGGGGGGATTAGATCAGATTATAAGATGGGAGATTGGGCAATTTTGCTGGGGTTTGATAGGTTTAGTCGGTGCTTGATGATGGGTTAATTCATCGGTGCGGTAGGAGTGTAATTAATCCACCAGCTCAAGTCCATGATTGAGCATGGAGGTGTGCAAGGAGATTAATTAATCCAGCAGTTTGATATTTTTCTGGCAGGCAACCGTTAATTTCAGGCAGGCGTTCTTTTTAAAAGCGCCCCCCCCCCCCGTATTGCGGAATAAGAAGTAATGAGAGTAAGCTAATCTTAGAAAGAATGAAATGAAAAATGAAATGGAATAATAAAGTTCAACAAATTAAATTAATCCGATTGTTTAAACAATTGGACAATCGTCCATAACAGCCTCGAGAATTTACAGATCTACTTACATACATACATACATACGTACATACTTAAAATAAATAAATAATTAAAAAAAAAACATACATATTACATATACATAAATAGAATGCTTCCGAATGCTTAAAAAAAAAAAAAAAAAAAAAAAAAAAAAAAAATGTTAAAAGGAAAACAGAAAGAACAAGAACAAGAACAATGATCTGCTAACTTACTAGTTTTTCGCCATAAATAACATCATGATGATTATTGATTATTGATTGGTCCCATAATCTTCCTTCAACTTCTCCTCCAATCTTGTAATGCAATTAACTACTTCCTTCATTCTCGGCCTTCTTGCCGGTTCCCTGCGAGTGCAAGCTGCAGCCAATCTCGACATCCCATCCAACGATTCCAGTATCGGATCCGTCAGCGGATAAAGCGCCACATCAGCAATCTCTCTCAGAGATTGAAGCGTCGGTTTCTCCAAGCAGTACGGTTCCAACCAGGAAGCCAAACTCAGCTCATCAGAAAACTGTTGATCAGACGCACCAGAAGCAGCGACAACAAGACCACGATCATCCTCACCTCCTTCTTCTTTTCCTCTCTGTGTCTTTGCACCTCTCTTTTTCCTCCTCTTTCTCCTCTTCTTCTCAGTCGTCTTCCCTCCTCCTCCTCCTCCTTCTCCTGCTCCTTCTCTTCTTCTTTCCTCTCCCTCTCCCTCTTCTTGTTCGTCATCGTCATCGTCATCGTCATTGTCATCTTCTCCACCCTCCTCTCCACCATCTCCTTCTTGTCCTTTCTCTTTTCCTCTTCCTCCTCCTCCTCCTCCTCCTCTTCCTCCTCCTCCTCCTCCTCTTCCTCCTCCTCCTCCTATCATGGCCTTCTTCCCCGTTATCAACTCAAGAAGAACGACCCCAAACGCATAAACATCCGATTTGGCGCTCACTTTGCAGAATATACTTCCCGACGCTTCTGGGGCAATATAGCCTTGCGTTCCTGCGATATTTATGCTGCTGAAAGTCGAGAAATCGTCACCGCTTTCAGACGTCTCCGCCGCGATCCAACCACGATCAGAGTCCTCTCCTGCACCTCCTCCCACACCAGCTATCCTACCTGAAATTGGAGATAGAGCCGATCCTCCTCCTCCTCCTCCTCCTCCAGAGACGGTAGACAGCTGGAAGCTGTACATGGCCATCTCATCGTCTTCGTCCCACACCCATCGATCGGACATGGTGCAGTAATGGTCAATCATGCCGGGCATGGAGGTAACGCTCAGCAAGGAGGAGGAGGCCGGGAGTCTGAACGAGGAATCGACATCGCCAGCCGCGGTGCAAGCGGSGGSGGSGGSGGTGGCGGRACATTSGGRGGRGSGGSGGGGGGGGSGSGGGGGGGGGGATGTGCCCGCCGCCCCGCTCACCCATCCCCGTCACACCCACGTTCGTCAAGTAAGCGCGCACCATGTCCCCCCTTCCTCGCGCCGCCCCCCCGCCTAGAAGGATATTCGAACTGGTGACGTCACCGTGAAATACGGGCGGATCCGCTTCTTCGTGGAGATAACGCAGCGCGATGGCGGCGTGTCTGGCTATGGAGACACGTGTCAACCAATCAAGAGGCTTCCAATCGACATTGCCATCACCGTAACAACCATTTTCACGCCTTCTTCCTCTTCTTCTTCCGCCACCTTCTTCTCCTTCTTCTCCTTCATCTCCTTTGTCGATCACCCTCCGTTCATGGCGGCGCATCCGCTTTCTCGACGCGTTTTCGTCTCGCAGAGTATCTACGCGACCGTCATCGTCATCATTGCCGTCACCATCATCATCCAAATCCGTGGACAAGAAGAAATCGTGGTTAAAACCATCACCACAATTCACCCCCTCCTCCCCTTCCGCCTCCTCCTCCCCCTCCACCTCCTTCGCCTCCTTCTCCTCCTCGTCCTGCAGCAGCTGCTTGGTTGTCACTGTAAGAGATTGCCGGCAATCCGATTGCGAAGGCGGCGATCCATCGGCCACAGTGAGAGAGGAGAAAGAACAGGATTTCCCTGGCGCAATTGCTCTCTTCCTCGTGATCGTCGTCCTCCTCCTCCTCCTCCTCCTCCTCCTCTTCCTCCCCCGCCTGCCCTCGATATCCACGACATTTTCGCCGCCTCCACGTGGCAACATCTGCGAGCACGACGACGACGATGACGATGATGATGATGTTATGCGGGACGACAGCTTGTGAAGTCGGTCGTACAGACTCACGCCTCCAATGAAAGGGTAAACCAAAAAGCACCTCTCCCTGTCGACGGAGTATCCGATGAGGTGGCAGAGGTAAGGATGTCGAAGCCTCCTGACGATGTCCAGCTCCTCTAGAAATTGCCGATACACTCTCTTGATGGAGAATTCTCCCTCCACTACTTTGATCGTCACCTCCCTGCCATCGACCAACTCCCCTTTGTACACCTGCGCGCTGCGCCCTCCCCTGCGCCCGCCGATCAGAGATTCGTCACTGAAATCCGACGTGGAGCGCGCCAACGCCTCGGGGGTGAACCGGATAATCGTCGGCAGAAGCGGATAAGGCAAAACTTCGGCGGGAGTTTCTCCTTCGTTCCCGCCAATACTAGTCAAAGTCGACACGGACCGATTCCTACACATCTTACGCCCATTGCTTCCCCCCGCGCCCAGACAGACAACGACCCATTTCCCGCCGCCATCGAAACAAGACCGCCCCCCCCCCCCATCAGGCTGCTGGGGTCTTATAACACAGCCGACCCAGCGTGCGAATGACGCCGCCACGTGGACAGACAGATCGGCCCAAGCATGATTAGATCGACGGAAGTAGGACCACAGCGCGCCGTTCGCAAACAGACAAATCCCCGATACCAGTGCCACAATGATACAGATCCCGACGGACATCACATGGTGCAAATCGCGACCCCGATGCCTCGGATCGGGAACCTGACGGCCCGTTCTTGATAACCTTGCCGACGTGTCAGAGCTGGAGGAGTTTCCAGCTTCGCGCTGCGCGCCACAGCGATGTAATGCTGACTGATTGATCTCGAATCGCAGTACGGACTCGTCAGCGCCGCCCACGTACAGAAAAAGATGTCCGTTTTCTTCTTGATGAACGGTAATCGAAGTCGAATTCCAATCCGCAAGAGTGAGAGGAGGAAGGCGATCAAAGCTGCTGCTGCTGCTGCTGCTGCTGCTGCTAAGAACGGCTACGGCTAACCCAGGATCATAACCTTGGTCAGATTGAGACCAGGACAAGGGGAATGAACCTGAACCGCGATCACCGATGCTTATTAGACCAGGTTCATCACCCTGGGTATTAGAGGGAGAAGGACCATCCACGGATTGCTGAGCACTTGATGATGATGATGATGATGATGAGAGAGACGTAAGGAAAGAAACGGATATGGCGGCGTCGTTCGTCGTCACGGGATAACCGAACGGCGAATCCAGTTGGATCAGCCATAGTCGGCCGACGGACGAGTCAGAGACGAACACGTGGCAGCCGTCGGGGGTAAGAGAGATGCTGCTTGGTCGATCGAGAGCGCAGTAGATCGCAGGCCAGCTGTCAGAAGTCTGATCGTTACTGCTGCCGCTGCTCCTGCTGCTCACTGGGCTAACGATGGTCTCCGTCCTTCCTGTTGTGGAGTTGACACGTCGCACTCGGTCGTTGCACCTATCGGCCACGAAGATCACCGATCCATCCGGCGATATACTCGTCGAGCTTATCACTGGGTCGCAGAACAACACATCCTCCCCTTGCTCTGCATCTCGGAAGACCCCCCGTCGGGACGCATTCGTCCGCTGCTGCTGCTGCAGCGGATCCGGCGCGCTCGAGAGGGGAGGGATCGCGATCGGGACACGTGGTGGTCCTGCCACGACGAACGACGATGGCGATGCGCCCGCTGAGGAAACTAAGGCTGCTGCTGCTTCTCCTGCTACTGCTCGCTGGGATCCCGGTGCTGATCCCGACGCCGACGTGTCTTGCGACGACTGGTTGTCAAGCAGGGCAATCGCACAGATTCGATCCGGGGTCGACACGTAAAGAAGCGGCTTCGACGGATGGGCTGCCACGTGGATGGCGTTCATAAGATTGCCATCATCATTGGAAGCTATGTTCCTCGTCGGCGTGAGAGCGAGACGAGGAAGAAGATCAGAATCAGAAGAAGAAGAAGAAGAAGAAGAAGAAGAAGAATTCTCACGACCCTGAGGAAGAGAAGGGTCAGCACGATCATCATCGTCATCGGACAAGCTTTTGTTTTTTTCTGCATTCAAAAGATCGATTGAATAGACAGAGGATGTCGAGAATTCCGGTAGGAACAACTCGGCACCCGCACGAGAGAAGGCCACATCGTACACACCGATCGCGCGATTGCCAGCAGCAGCAGGCCACGTCAGCAACCATACACTCACATTCACCCGTCTACTAATACCACTGTCAGCACTTCTTGCGTCTTTCGGTGGTCCAGACGGAGACGAGCTGCTCCCACCAGACTCCTCACCCCAGCTTTCATTCACCAGTACAACCACAAAACTACTTTCGCTGCTATCACTACGGCTATCACTACTGCTGCTGCTAGCAGTAGCAGAAGTACGGCTAAGATCACTCCTATTCAAGGTGGAATCACTCATCATGATCGTGTTTTCCTTGCCTAATTCGAGGAGATAAACTAGTGATGAGCTGTCATTCCTTGAAAAGCACGATAAGCCCCGCACGCGAGCTTTGAGTCGGACTCGATCGTCTCCAGTCGCGGATAGGTTCGTCATACTTGTCGCTCGCACCACACCCGCAAACGACAAAAACTCGCCGTTAGGAATGATGATGCCACTGTCAGAACTCTGCAGCACCCCTCTTGCTCTTCGTCCACCGAATTCATCACCTCCTCCTCCTCCTCCTCCTATAACCTCACCTCCTCCTCTTTCTCCTCCTCCTCCTCCGGCCTCCTCTATCTTTCTCCGCGTCTCTTCAAGCTCTTCTCCTCCTCCTACATCAACATCTCCTCCTCCTCCTCCTCCTCCGACTCCTCTGACGTCACCACCACCTCCTCTTCCTCCTCTTCCAGCCTTTCTCCGCTTGTTTTCAAGCTCGTCTCCAACCCTTACTTCAAAATCTCCTCCTCCTGTTCCTCCTCCTCGTCCTACTCCTACTCCTACAACTTCTGCAGGTACATCTCCCTTTCTTTCGGTCGCCTTGTCTATCCTCTTGTCCCTCCCGCTCCTCCTCCTTTTCCTCCTCCTCCTCCTTAAGATCTCCCTACTATCATTATCATCATCGCCGTCACCATCATCATCAACATCGTAAAGCTTTCGCCCTGTGCCCGTTTGCGACGAGAGGTTGCCGCCCAATAACGATCCTCCAACGCCTCGGGATCCCACACCCGCTCCCGCTCCCGATCCCGATCCCGATCCCGAACCTCCTTGCAGAGCAGTTTTCACCTCGAAGTTGCCGACGGAAGGCGACAAGTGAGTTACCTCCCCCCCTTGTAATCCAATCATTCCAACCCCCCACAGCACAAGTCCAAAAATAGAAACAGTGATCATCAAGTAGTACCGCTGGCGAGCCATCTTCAACTTCCGCACGCCACGTGGCACCAGCAGGAGCGGCCTCAAAACTTCTGTCGTCATCATCCGTTTGCTAATTATAGTCATCCCACCCATCTCTCCTTTCGCATTCACGTCATAATCATCACACCAGCAGACTTGTTGCTTTGATCGACTTATCCCGCCAACCAGTACCTTCCTCGCAGACGAATATTAATCTATGATTCACTCTATGCCCTCACAATTTCGTTTATTTATATTACAATGATCGGACTCAATTTGATTTCTCTGACCCAAGCAGGAGTCTAGACATCATGTTGTTCCAGTACGTCACTATCCGTTACACAGCGCGCATGCGCGCGCGCGCGAGAGAGAGAGAGAGATGGGCAGCCCGGATGGAATGACACGAAAGAGGGGAGAGGGGGGGGAGGGGGGGGCAGGTGAAGGGGAAGAAGACAAGAGAGAGCACGCCCGCCGTAGTTGTAGTTCAGTCGCCCGACAAGTAAAATGTGCTGCTTTCAACCGATCCCAATGATTCAACCGGATCCCAACTGTTCAATCGGGACTCCCACTGTGTTCACTGAACAGAGTCATCCCAAGGAGCTCGACACCTCGACGCAAGCAGGGGGGAATAAGGTTCTTGCACCTACAGACTCCAGATCCCGTTCCCCAACTCACATCCCACCACCCTTCTGACTTACCCTCAACTATTACACGTTATTTACTAATATTACCATTAGTATTATACATGCGGGCGCCGGGCGAAGACTGGCGTTCTCTCAAACAATCACGACAGTTAAAAAACAAACAAACAAAAAAAAAACTCTCTCTCAATCGACCCCGACAGTTCAACCGGTCTCAACGCTAGTGTATCAACGCATCCCGACGCTCCCTTATACCTCAAACAAAACCCACTCCAGCCTCGCCCCGCCCAGCCTCGCCTTGGCCCTGCTCCGCCCCGTCCCCCCCCCAAACGCGCCCAGCACAGCAGGGCAACTCGGCACACACAGAGAGCTCTACCAATCAAAGTTTGCTCTCAACTCCCGCGCATTGTCTCGTTGTCCCCTAGCAGTAGATCCCCACAAAGCCGAACGCAACTTACACTCAACTTACACTCAAACTTGCACTCAATTTACACTCAACTACACCGAACGCAACTTACACTCAACTTACACTCAAACTTACACTCAAACTTACACTCAAACTTACACTCGACTTTCAACTCAATACAGAGAGCTCTACTAATCAGAGTTTCCTCTTAACTCCCGCGGATTGTCCGGTTGTCCCCTAACCGTAGATTCCCACAAAGCCGAACTCAACTTACACTCAACTTACACTCAACTTACACTCAACTAACACTCAAAGCGATCCCCACAAAGACGAACGGACTCAAGTTACACTCTCGATGATTGCGCACGGGATCGATCATGACCGTATCGAGGAACTCGACAGTTTGACAGTTTGAAGACATTTTGTTGAATTCAACCATAACTAGGCAGCTTGTTACTCATCATGATGATACCTACTTCCGTAATTACTAGTATATACAGTCGAACAGGCGGGCGGCATGCACGCGACACATGGCACTCAGCCTCGCTGCCCTCTTGCACTCGTCACTCTGAACTCTCTCTCTCTCTCTCTTTCTCTCTCCGTCCGATCTCCATTAGGGCCTGGACCAGCATCACCATCGCCCCATCACGGGCAGCAGCAGCAGAGATAGCAAATAAAAGCAGAAGAGAAACCGAAAATATTTTAAAATTTTACTTTTCCAATATCTCAATATGATATAGACATATATTTATATAGGTTCATTACCACATGGAGATCGACATGGAAAGGCCCGCCCAGCAGCCGATGACCCACTTCTTGGATCTAGACCTATATATCGTAAAGATTAGTGATTACTTCGAAGAGATTAACCGTCAAAAACACGACTAGGTTCACTGAATCCTTGATCCCGCTGCTTGCTGAGGTGCTTGGTCGACGCAAAAGGAGCATAGGAATAAGAAGAAGCAAACGTTGAGGTCGAAAAGAATTTAAAAAAAAAAAAAGCATAATAATAATAGCAAATAAAATGAAAAAAAAAACTGTCTTAGGAAAGGAACAGATCGGAAGCAAAACTGAGGGGAAAATTTTGTAAAATGTATATATACAATATACATTAACACTTGCTAGTAGTGTAGATTACAACAAATGGATGAACCGTCAGGAAAAAAAAAAAAATCTACGCGATCTGATCAGAAAAGTTCTCGGTGCGCAAAGAATAACGCGCACGGAAGTCGGTCCATCAACCAAAAAAATACAAACAAAAAAAAAAAAATCGGTCAAAACTTATCGCCAGCGTAGAGACAGCAGACAGTCTGCGTAACAACAAAGAAAGTAAAAAAAAAATCCAGATAATGGATGGATGTCGAAAAAAAAAAAAAAAAAAAAAAAAAAAAAAACGAAAACCCGGAAAACCTGTCTCTCTCTCTCTCTCTCTCTCTCTCTCTCTCTCTCTCACACACACACACACACACACACACACACTCTATCCTGTCACCGTCTGACAACAGCGTGCACCAGAGGCAGGCAATTCAGTAGAAAGGATCTATGGATGGATCTGTAGATGAATCTATAGACGGATCGATAGACGAGAGAGAGAGAGAGAGAGAGAGAGGAAGTGGGATTTGTCAAATACAGAGAGTTCGATAACCAAGACGAGTCGCTCTCCTTCATACAATCAGTAGATAGGAGGGAATGGTAGAAACGAGAGGATGATGATGATGGTGGTATAGGCGTCAGCGAGCCGTCACTACCGCGGCCAGCGGCGAACAGTCCGACCGAGAATCTGGAATCCAACGGTCCCTCGTCGCTGGAACCGTCGGAATGGATAAACAATTTTTCGCACAAAAAATTGCAAGCCCCTCCCTGACAAAGCACGTGGGGGACGGAGGTCAGGAGAGGGGAGAGTGGGCAGGACGATTTCAAAGCGGCGGGAAAGGAAGAAAGAAGGAGAACACGAGAAAGAGGATTTCTTAAGGACGTAAATAGATAGCATCGATCCACCACAGTGACTATACTAACGATCACAACGGAAAGTTAATCTGAGACTCTTCCCTTTTTTTTCCCTTTTTTGTTTAAGATACAAAAGCATTTTTGTGTGTATATTTGTGTGTGCGCATGTGTGTATGTGTGTGTATGTGTGTGTATGTGTGTGCGTATGTGTGTGTATGTGTGTGCGTATGTGTGTGTATGCGAGTTAACCCTTCTCGACGATTTCGCTGGTGGCAAGTTAACCCTTCTCGTAAATTTCGCTGGTGGCGAGTTAACCCTTCTCTCGTCAATAACCCTTCTCGTTAATTTCGCTGGTGGCGAGTTAACCCTGGTGGCGAGTTAACCCTTCAATTTCGGTGGTGGCAAGTTAACCCTTTTCGTTAATTTCGCTGGTGGCGAGTTAACTCTTCTCTCGTCAATTTCGGTGGACCAGGTTGAGACGCGATGAGAAGTTGCTGCTAAACTAACTAGAAGTCTAGAAGCGCACTGCTAAACTAGAAGAGGATAACCCTTCGACTTTGGTGGTGGGTAGATAACTAACCCTCTTCTCGTCCGCAGTCAATTTCGGTAGTGGTAAAGTTCTCTCACGAGTCAACGACGACGAATCACCACGTGGTCCAATGAGAGAAATCTAATGTCACCTGCCATAGCCATCCGCGTCTCTCTTGATTGACCTCTCGACGCCAAGAGTCCCCTTGGCCCGTCTCTTGATTGACCTCTCGAAGCACACTCACTCACTCACTCACTCACTCACTCACTCACTCACTGTTCCCACCATCGGCCCGCGCTCACAAGTTCATCTTCACCTAACCGCATATACGTCCGTCCGCAAGCCTCTGCCACGATCCGATTCTCCGCCGCTGATCTTCCTCCACCAATCAATGGCGTCACAATGTCTTTAAGAACAGATGCAACGATGCAGAGAAAGAGAGAGAAAGAGAGAGAGAGAGAGAGAGAAAGAGAGAGAAAGAGAGAGAAAGAAAGAGAAAGAGAGAGCCTGTAAATGTGTATGTGTTCATAAGAGTTCCTCCAGCAATCAATGGCTTGACAATGTGTTTCTGAACAGAGATTCAACGATGCTGCAGAGAAAGGGAAAAAAAGTGAGTGACACAGATAGAGGGAGAGAGAAACAGAAAGAGAGTGACAGAGAAAGTCTGTAAATGCGTATGTGTACGTGAGAGAGAGAGAGAGAGAGAGAGAGAGAGAGAGAGAGAGAGAGAGACTGTGAAGTGATTGACAAAAAGCAGGTGGTCATGCAACGCAGAGGCCAGGGAGGGAGTGTGATGAAAGGCCAGTGAGCATGTTGATTGGCCTGATGGTGCACATCCAAGTGGGTGGCTCCCCTCGCAACTCGATTCTGATGCTCCTCGTCCCGGGTTGTCTTACAGCGTACTCACACCAGGACTTTCATCTTCCTCAACTAAAGACGGAGGGAGATACTAATGGTCATGGTTAGATACGTGCTACAAAATCCTAATTTGCCGGTCGATAGAGGAGAGCATTGGCGGCCAAATCCAGTCGAGATCCGTTTGGACTCTCCTCCAAAATCCCCTTCCCCTTCTTCCCCCTTTCAAACGGATCCCAACCCAATCTGGCCAGAAACCCAGCTACCTATCGTCTACTCATGTTTTGTTCGTCTATCTACACCTATCTATCTATCTATCTATCTATCTATCTATCTATCTATCTATAGATATATCTCTCTGCATATATCTATCTTTAGATCTATCTATCTATCTATTCATCTATCTATCCAGGTATTTAGCACTCTCTGTTTGTCCGTCAGTTTATCTATCTATCTATCTATCTATCTATCTATCTATCGAACTGATCGACCTATCTCAAAAGCCACAGAAATACATATATATATATGTAAAAAGAAGAGCATGCCTGCCACGAGTT